TGGAGTGCCCCCATCTGGTCATGTTGGAGCACCCCACACCTGACATGGGCGGAAGATGCTCCTGCCACCACAGATGAGCTTGGTTGGACTGGAGCAAGCCCCATTCAGCCACGCCACCAGTTAACCATTAAGCAGTTAACCATTCACATCCCTAATGGTCCCAACAGCCTCAGGAGAAGTGAGGCTACTTGCTTGGCTTGAATTAACCAGTTAAACATTATGTTTAACAGATGGGAGGGAAAGCTATATATGAACAGTTAACTGCTAAAACAGGGCTGGGCATGGGGCTGCTCCAACCCAGCTGGGCTGGAGTGCCCCCATCTGGTCATGTTGGAGCACCCCACACCTGACATGGGCGGAAGATGCTCCTGCCACCACAGATGAGCTTGGTTGGACTGGAGCAAGCCCCATTCAGCCACGCCACCAGTTAACCATTAAGCAGTTAACCATTCACATCCCTAATGGTCCCAACAGCCTCAGGAGAAGTGAGGCTACTTGCTTGGCTTGCCCCTGTGCATTCAGCAGGGAGTTCTGCGATGGGGCGGGGAGGGGGTGATATCATTACAAGTCAGCTAACTAGCTTCCAAGGGGAGTTGGGGCTGCTGCCTGTGAGCATTGAGAAGATGCTGCCTCATCTAGGAGTGCAGCTGGAGTTATGCAGCAGCCCAGACTACCACATTACCAGGGCTTGACAAACTATACAATCTACTTGCCTGTGGCGAGTAGATTTCTGCTGCACACAGGCTGTGCATGCGCAATGCGGCTCTTGCGCATGCGCAGTACGGGGCTGGCAAGCGATTTTCACTGCCGTTTGTCAAGCCCGGCACATTACGATGTTTGTGGTCAAGCGAACTCCTCCACCAAGCCCTGTGGTGCACTCACACAGGCTTTTCCCTGGGGCCTCCAGGGTGGAGAGCAGCTGTCCTGCATGCTAGGAGGTGCTGCGGGGGGAAATGCAAAGCCCTGCTTCCCACAAGCATTCAGGGTTTTTCTCCTTGGCCAAGGGTACATGCTCAGCACCCCACCTGCATCCCAACACTCTGCCCCAGCCTGGAGCCCCCTCCCAGAGACAGCACCCTGCACACCTCATCCATCCCAACACTGCCTCAGCCCGGAGTGCCCTCCTGCACCCAAAGTCCCTCCCACAGCTTGCACCTCTACCCCCTCCTACTCCCAAAACGTTCGGTCCAAAACACAGAGCCTGCACTCTGTCCTAACCTAGTGAAAGTGAGTGAGAGCAAGATATGGAGGGGAAGGGGGGCTTGAAGTAGGTAGAGCATCAGGGAAGGGGCAGGGCCTCAGAGAAGGGGCAGAGTAGATCCTTAGTTGCCCTGAGATTTAAAATGCAATCTTGGGCATAAAAAGTTTGGAGACCACTGCTCTACACATTTCATTTGATTTTAAATTTTAGATTGCAAGCTGCTTTCAAGTAGTGAGGGAGGACTTCTGTAGTGACAAAGCTACAGTGAAGTGAGGCAAGTGACAGCAAGTGGTTGGGGCAGGAGCTTAAAGCACAGAACTAGATTTCTATAACAGTTCTTTACAGGATTTAAAAAAAAAAAAAAAAAAAAGAATGGTCCTTTAGCACCTTAGAGACAGCTATGCCCATGAAAGCTTTTTTTTTTAAATCCAGAATGGTGGTTGAATGTACTTTTGGACATTTAAAAGGGAAAGGTTAAGAGCTTCCTGACTAGGTTGGACCTCAGCAAGTGCAACATTCCCCCTTTAAGGGGTCACTCTACTGTGTATTCCATTATCTTTGTGGGAGCAAGGGGGTAGTTATGTGGCAGGGTGGGGTGGCCAAGGCAGAGCGCCTATCCAGAGACTTTGAGCAGCCAGACATCGGGGCACTAAGGAAGCACAAATCAGAGAGGCTTTGAAGGACAGTTTTATGAATAGCCAGTTTTGAGAGTCATGCATGTTGCACTCAATGTGGTGCCCTTGCATTCCCTGTGTTTGCCTTTAATCCCCTACCCTACCCCAGAAGCACAAGCAATAAAGAAACTGTTGTTCAGAGATCATGAGCTTTTATTTAGGGAAAACAGCATGGAAATAAAAGAAGTCCATAGTGGGTACCTGAAGGGGAGGGACGGGGTTCAGAAATGCACAATGGACAGCCTGTTGCCTCCGGAGGTCCTGGAGGTAAAGGCTGTCCTTGATTCTGCCTCCCTTCATGTCCTGGGGCCGCAGCAGACTGTGAGGACTCTGGGGATGGATGCTATAGAGCTGGGGGAGGAGGGAAAAGTTATTTTGACCAGACTGGATGGGATTGTGGGAAGAGGCCTTCTGCAAATGCAACATTTCCCCTTCATGGCATTAGCCTGCTCTGTATTTCAGGGGGGGGGGGAGGAGAGAGAGTATGCAGCCAGGCTCTTCACTGTCATCAGGCAAGCAAAGATGCTGTCCTTTTGCCTCACTTATGGCTCCCTGCACGCTCTCCTCTTCTGGCGTTCTGCAATCCTATCCAGGTGTTCTGCCCACATCTCCTCCACCAGCGTATTCATTTGTTCCTTGAACATATCCTCCCTTGTCCGTTTCCGCCTGCAGAGCTATGCTATGAGGACAGATGTTGGTGCCAGGGAAGTGTGCAGTTAGCTGGCTGCTGTTCTGAAAAGTTACAAGGGCACACATTACAGGAGACACATTGTGTTATCTGTTAACATACAATGAGAGTCTCTGTAAAGACAATGGAGATGTATTCTGTGCAAGACTAAATTTTTGTTTTAAAGTGGCCAGTGTACAGCAGATACACAAGTTCTCAGAGGAGTATTTGGACTCGTAGTCTGGAGGCAGGCAAGCATGGTAAGAGCCCAGCCAGGTCAGGAGCCTGCAGGTGGAGGGGTGGGGGGCTGTAGAGGGTGGCTTCCCTTTGTGTCCAGCACACGTGGCTTTCCAGGACAGTGCTACTTTCCAAGCCTACAGAGTCTGTAGGCAGGGGGAGGGGAGATGGGTCCAGTCACGCTGGAGGAGTGGGGCGGTGTCCAGCACACATGGGTTCCTGGGACAGTGCTAATTTCCCAACCCACAGAAGACTGCAGGAGGGAGGCAGGGGATGAGGCAAGGCAGCTTCCTTCTGTGTTTGGTACTTGTGGCTTCCCAGGACAGTGATACTTTTCCAGCCCACAGGGGGGAGAGGAGGATCTGTGTCCGGCACATGCAGCTTCCCGAAGAAATTGACTAGCTTCCTCTTCTCCTTCATCCAGGTTGCCATGAGAGATCAGTCTTCTCCAAATCACACAGAGTGATCAGGAGTGGATGCTGACTGAATATGGCCAGAAACCTGGGCCTTATGCCACAATGTTTTGCAGTACAATGACACCAGACCACTTACTGGCTGCTTGGCATGGGAAGGTGTCCTACCATTGAGGATAAAGTAAGGCTGGCCTCCCCAAAAACCTTGTGAGAAGGAACTTTTTGATCTTATCTGAGAGCTTCATGGAAATGTGCAGGGAAGATTCCTGCTTCATCTGCAGATACATTACCAAGTTATTCTGGGACCCCCCATGCTGTCTAGCCACAGACCACATCGCACATCACAACCAACTGCCTTACCCCACTAGTAAGAAAAGAGTTGTGAACTTACGAGAAGTGCCTTCCCTGGGTCAGTGCTCAAGTTGGAGACATCCTGGGAAGAGAGGGTCTGGCTCCAGCATGATAAATAGTTCTTGGCTCTCCTCAATCTCCGGCTGGCCATTCTCTACCACCTCCTCCTCCTCTTCCCCCTCCCCCACCATGATGCTGTCCTCCATGGTGGTGCCAGAAGAGCCGTGGCCAGACTCCATGGTCAGGCTTGGGAAGCTGGTCAGGTCCTTCCCTCTCCCCTCCAGAATTACATCCAGCTGTTCGTAGGCTGGCATGTGTGAGGTGCTGCACTAGACTGTCCATTCTCCTCCTTTGCATTGTGGTAGGAATGCCTCAGCTCCTTTATTTTGACTCTGCACTGCAGGGCGTCAGTGGAGTATCCTTTGGCCACCAAGCAGTTTGCAATTTTTGCATAAATGTCTGCATTTCATTTCCTTGTTCAGAGTTCGGAGAGAATGGATTCCTCTCCCCATGCCTTGATGAGATCCAAGATCTCCTAGAAACTCCACATAGATGCTCTTTTGTGCCCCAGGGAACTGGAGTCCATGGGACTTGATGTATTTGAAATCACTGATGTATTAGAAGTCATGGTCACGTGTGCCACAGTGTGATGTGCTGCTCACTCTGAGATGTGCTCGCAACATGGGAAATGAAATTCAAACTTTCCAAGGCTTTTCCTGTTCACCTAGAGAACAGTAGAGGCACAAGTTCTGGCCAGAGCAGAGCATTGTGGGATGCCTCCCGGATGCCAATAGCCTCAACCTTCACCAGCACTGAGTCTACACTATCAAACTCAAACCAGGCAAGATCAGGAATAGCATTGGTCCTTGTGAAATCAGGAGTAACTGAACTTTAGTGGCCCTTAAGTTGATGAGGCAGGCTTGGTAGTGTGGATGCACGGTTTAGAAAAAAAAATCGCATGCAACTACATTCGGTGTAAGCTCCTAGCATAGATCAGGCCATGGTCTCTTCTGCAGGTACTGAGAAAAGACCTTATTTAAATTGAGTTAAACAACAAGAGTTCAATCAAAGTTGATAAACTTCCTGAAAGTTGAAAAGCTTGTTCTTCCTCTTACAAATTTATAAATAAGATCAACTGAGCAGAGTTCTACTAGTTCTAAAATCTTGTAGGACCTCAGGGCCATAAACAATCAGTCCAAATAATGAAGTATAGCTAATAATTGGGTTTAATAAATAATATTAAATGAGAAACATGATGCAATTCTTCCCCTCACCCCCCATGTTCTGCTTTTAAATTACGTCAAAATCTTTTCATTAAGTACACCCCATCTATACTGCTTATGAGCTGGAAACCATTTCCTATTCCAATTCAAACACTACACTTCTGGAATCTAAACAGGACTATATGCAACAGATGTTTACCATAATAATCATGTTAGTTTTCACATAATACTTACATATACAAGCAGCTGCGATGAGACGACAGGCAACATAGGGTGGATCACAAGAAGGGAAGATAGGCTGCACAATGTAGTTAGCAAAAGTTATTGCAATAATTGCTTGACTAGTTGGCTCAACAATCAACAGTGAGGTCCATAAGCGAATAAAAGCAATAAAGCTCCCAAAGGCCTCCAAGATATATGCATAGCTGGCTCCTGACTTAGTAATTGTGGTTCCCAGTTCAGCATAGCAGAGAGCTCCAAACACTGAAAAAATCCCTCCTGTTGCCCAGATTATTAGAGACAATCCAAAGGAGGCACTGTAGATGAGAACTCCTTTGGGAGAGACAAAGATACCCGAACCAATCATGTTGCCTACAATGAGACTGATTCCATTAAGCAAAGATATTTCTTTCTTCAGCTGCATAGTTTCTTTGTTTCTTTCATATATTTCACAGCTGTCACTTGAATCTAGCTTGTTTGCTTCCTTGATGGGACAGTATTCAGATATAGAGTTATGAGCTACTGTACCAATTGCCTTTTCTTCCATTGTGGAATTGTTGTGTATTCTCTAGAATGCCAGTCCCAATCTAAAACAAAAGCACAGACAGTTAAAAATTAACAACAGCAATAACTTTTTGTCTAACTCTATATATAAAGCTTTCTTGAAGCATAGGACTGAGTTACGTAACCTCCAATATCCCTATTTTAGCTACCTTGTGTTGCTAAGCTATATGATTTTGAAGAAGAGTAAATCATGACATTTGAACAAGTGACCATCTCAAAATATCTTAAGGTAATATCTTAAGAAAAAGGTGAAAAGAATAATGTGATGGCGATTTGCAAGGTGGGGGGGTGGCGGTAGGGAAATCACTGCTGGCCTTTTTACACTTGGATGCAAGATTGTAGCAATACCAACAATTCTGAAATACAGACACAATATAGACATTTAGAAATGAAACAACCCGATTAAACGAAGTTGTTCTTTAATTTGCACTGACACTACCTTTCCTTCAAAATCTAACAATTGACTGGATTATCAAAAGTTTCATAAGAGCAAGCCTATGTATTTTCTAAAAATCTGCTACTGTCTTTATATACTGTCCTTGCCAATGACTAAATCCTGAGTTCACATTTCAGTGGCCTTCCGCAGTGCAGAAAGATGCAAGTCTGGGTAAGATTTGGCAAAGCAGTTGCTCTAACACAGAAAACAATTATTATCTTGCATTAGATTTTCTTTGTAACAGAAACTTAATTAGGGGGTATTTTATTCCAAAAGTAAAACAGTTTTGAAATTGATCCTGGCACTAACCTAGCAAAGAGGGGGAAGGCACAGAGAAGGTGTTTATGCTCTGATTTTCAGCAGGTCCAACATAATTATGCACACAATTCAGGTATTTGGGCTTGAAAATAATTAACAGGTGCATCTAACACACAACTCATGCACGATTATCTTAATTTGCACTCTTTATTCATGTAGTTATAGAACCTTGGTTTTGAAAAAAAAAAAAAATCAAATCCTTTGTTATATATTGTCAATATTATAGGCTACAAAGTAAATCGTGTAAATAGCATATGCAAATTAGAGCATTCAGATAGAAGATATTCTAAGTTTATTCTTACTCTTTCAAGCCATTTTAAAAATTTTAAACACAAGGGAAATAAATGTGACCTACACAGAAATGGAATGTAGACCATTTACTGGAATGGAATATAGCCTGTTCACATTATGTCCTGTATGAGGCTTCTCTCTACATAAAAGGGGAAAAAAAATATTCAAAAATAGTATTATTTATGTAAATTAAAATAGTGACTGAATTTGAGAAGTAATTTCCCTTATATAATCAAATAGGTTTGCTGTATTGCAAATCATCCCTTAAGGCTTTTAAAAAGATTTGTTTAAAACGTTAAACATTTATTCTGTCAGAGCAAACAATAATGACAGAATACAGTCAAAAATCAGTCAGATTTGGAACAAGTTATCCCACACAGAAATATCGTATGATAAAGTATCAGAAATAAAAGAAAAAAGGTAAAGAAAAAAATATTAAACACACCGGGACTTATTCTCCCCAAATGTTAAGGATTCTGCCCCAAAGCTCTGGAAATCCTGAACCTTTCCTGTTGCCCCGTATTTACCTGACATTTATTTTTCAGAGGGAAAAAGCCAAACCAGAAAATAGGTCATGGAAAGGGTTGACAGATGGTTTCAACAAGATTACTGGACACATTTGACATTACATCACAATCTACATTATCTTATTTAGAAAATACCGGACATTTATATTTTCTCAATTTGTTTCCCAAACAGAAAGCTCAAATACTGGACTGTCCGGTTGAAAACCGGACACCTGGCAACCCTAGTCATGGAAAATGTGCTCAATATAGCCACACATTTATTGAAAGATATGGCATAGCCTCTCTGCCCACTGAAACTTAGGAAGGATAGGCAAAGGTCTGAGTTTTTTTACAGCACTGACAGGAATGTGGAAGAGCTGGTATGATAAGGCCTTAGACCCATCTTACTCCTTGTTTATTTCATTTAACAATCTGGAGAGACTACATGAGTCAAGGACATTGTTTTCTAGTGAAGCAGGGCAGATAAAAATTGATAGAATCATAGAATCATAGAATAATAGGACTGGAAGGGACCTCAAGAGGTCATCGAGTCCAGCCCCCCGCCCTCAAGGCAGGACCAAGCTCCGTCTACACCATCCCTGACAGATGTCTATCTAACCTGTTCTTAAATATCTCCAGAGAGGGAGATTCCACCACCTCCCTTGGCAATTTATTCCAATATTTGACCACCCTGACAGGTAGGAATTTTTTCCTAATGTCCAATCTAAACCTCCCCTGCTGCACTTTAAGCCCATTACTCCATGTCCTGTCCTCAGAAACCAAGAGGAACAAATTTTCGCCTTCCTCCGCTATCATGTCCCCCTTAATCTTCTTTTTTCCAAATTAAACAAGCCCAGTTCATGAAGCCTGGCTTCATAGGTCATGTTCTCTAAACCTTTAATCATTCTTGTCGCTCTTCTCTGTACCCTTTCCAATTTCTCCACATCTTTCTTGAAATGTGGCGCCCAGAACTGGACACAGTACTCCAGCTGAGGCCTAACTAGTGCAGAGTAGAGCGGCAGAATGACTTCACGAGTTTTGCTTACAACACACCTGTTGATACAACCTAGAATCATATTTGCTTTTTTTTGCAACAGCATCACACTGATGATTTATTTAAAAAAATATTTTTATTTAAACTGGATTTTTTTTAATCTTTTAAAATCAACAGTACAAGTTGTACCTCTAAAATTTGGGATTCTCTGGTCCAGCAACATCCATGATCTGGTATAGCCATGGATGTTCCAGTAGCAGGGAGTCCCAGCACACTGCAGAGGGTGCAGGCCTGGGAACTGTTGTGGGGCTCAGTTAGGCTGCAGGGCAGGGAGCCAGGAACCAGTGTGCAGCTCAGCTGGGCTCAGGGGTGAGAAGCCAGGAAGCCTGTGGGCAGGGAGGCAAGACGGAGACCAGCAGCAGGTCTGGACCTCCCTTGGTCTGGAAAAATCCCTCATTCGGGACCAGTCAGGTCCCAAGGATGCTGGATGAGGGAGGTACAACCTGTACCAATTTTCACTTTTAAAATAACAGTCACAATAAAATCTCACCACAAACATGCTATACATACACTTAGTCTCATAAGAACGAATGAATGAATGAATGAATGAATAACTATAGTTTGTCCAGCCTAACTTCTAGCTCTTACTTCTTGAAAATTCTGGATTTTCAATTTCTGTTTCTCAGCAGACTAAAAGGTAACATGTGCAAAGACAGACAGAGCTGGATATTATTGTTTTCATTCTGTGCTTATGTGGTTGTGGACCTTGGCTAAACACAGCACAGGAGTTAGTTAAGACACTTTCTTAAAGACAGAGATAATACATACAAAAGGACAGAGGCAGCATAGAAAGGAACTGTAGAGTGGACTAGAAAGAAAAAAGGAAGACGTTGTTCAGTATATTCACAACTTTACATTCCCCCACATTTTTGCAACCAAAACTGCCATGATTTCTGGGCATAAAAGAGACCCTATATTGAAGAAGTTCATTTTCTGGATGAAAAAGGAAAATGTGACAAGTGTAAGCATTGCAGAACATAAGAACAGCCACAGTGGATCAGACCAAATGTCTATCTAGCTCAGCACCTGGTCTTCCAACAGTGGCCACTACCAGGTGCCCCACAGGGAATGAACAGAACAAGTAATCTTCTCGTCACCCATTCCCAGCTTCTGACAAAAAGTCTAGGAACACCATTCCTGCCCATCCTGGCTCTTAGCCTTTGATGAACCTGTCCTCCATAAACGTATCTAATTCTTTTTTGAACCCTTTTAAAATCCTGAAGAAGCAGGGCCTAGTTGCAAGAATGAAACATCATAAGGAAAACTGTTTATTGGGAGAAATGGGATCTCTGGAGCTTAGTATAGGAGCTTTTACCCTTTGAGCTAAAAGCCAGCTGGCTCTCAGCCCATGCTGTAGAGGTCTCTTGTTTTTATCTGTTACTGTGGTCTAGGTGCCACTGCATGGGACAGTGAACCACACTAGAAGGGTGGGTTACACAAGCACTGTGAAGAAGTGGAGCAATGTAGCAATTCCTCCTCTGCTGCCATCTCACAGGCCAGACTGATCGCTCTGCTTCACTGTGGTGGCGAGAAGCAGAGCACCCCACCCCCAATACAAGCTGGCTTGGAAGATGGCAATCAAGCAGAGGAGGCTGCTGTGTAGCTCTGCTTCCCCACAGCTCCCTCTGTCATGGTGAATGTGTGTGGGGGGGAGGGGGGGGGGAAGAGGGCTGACTTCTGCTGCTGGTCCCAATCCTCACATGGTCCTAACCTGAGTTTGGGAGACCATCCCATCCATAGGAAGACTGGGACGACAGTTGCAATGTCCGGGGCAGCTGCACCAAACTGTCCTATGGATGGCATGGCTCTGCACACATCTCCCCCACGTCACAGTGACATGCTGGCAGTGACATGGTGCTAGCAGCCAGACACTGCTTTAGCCCTGCTCTGCGACCGGTGGTGGTGGTGCCCACTGGGAGGATTTGAGGACTGGCACTGGCTCTAAGGTAAATTGACTTTGAGTCCCCTGGTTTATGGTATTCTTAACCCATTCACACTGGCCAATATAACCGCTTTCAAGACATTGCCCTGTGTACACAGTGAAACAGGCTTTGGCTCAACAAACATTTGGTGAACTCATTCACAGACACAACCTAATCCTATAGAAAGATGGTGGACTTGGTTTTTCTGTTCCAACTAAGAACAAAAGCCACTCGAGTTTATGTTCAAATATTAATCCCACAGGCAGAGTTACATACTTGGATCGTTGGTCCAGCAACTGCTCAAATCCTTTAATTTGTGCTTGCCAACACCACAAACTTAAGCTCCTTGTCTACCAGCTCCTCCTACTCAACCAGTCTCTTCTTTTATCTGCCACCATGCTCAAAACAACTGCCACAAAGTTCTCTCACTCTAGTCTACATTTTTGCATATAATCCTTTATGTAGGGAACCTCACACTCACAGTCTGCTTACCACCTTGAAGGCCCTCTTGAAGGCATGCTTATAAGTATTATTAAATGGTAAATATTGCAAAAAAATTTGGCATTAATACATGCACATAACAGTTCATTCAGATACAGCTTTCCTCTAGTCTTATTTTATGACTGGTGGACCTCATGGATAGGACTGCTTGTGTGTCTATATAAATAATACCTAGTGGGCTACTTGAAAACCATGTAAACAATGCAGATAAAGTATCTACAGTGACACTCCACCTAGTACTAACTGGCACCAAACTTAGCAGTCCTCATATAATCAAAGAACCACCCCAGAGGATGAATGTAGAACATGGAAAAAAAAATATTAGTGAACAAAACTGAAACTGTGTCACGGTTAGAAAGAGAACAGAAAACAAACTAAAACCTCAGGTTTCTGTCAGAGGCCTATTAGGTAGCAAAAAGAAAAGGCTGGAGAAAAAGAATGAGACGTGTAGTGCCTTGTACGTGAATTCCAGAGTCATACACCCCAGCATGCTGATTTAACTTCATGCCACATATCAGTATCTCAGTGACACAATGCTCTTTTATTGCTGAATGTTATTATTTTCAAATGGTCTTTTAACATCCTTACAATCACTTTGGTATCCTAATGGCCACCAAGCCCGATACCTCAATGAAAATTCCATGTCTGGGGTTTCATTTCCTACAGCATTTTAAGAGGCTGAATGAAAGGAAATATTTAAAAGTAAGGAATAAGATCTTTCCTCAGTGGAAATCTATTTGTGTGGCTCCTACTTTTATAGCTAAATCCATGGTAGTTTACAACACTCCCAAAAGAAGCTCACTCATGAGCTTTTGATAACAATAGTACAAAGAAAAGGGATGCTAACATTAAGTCCCCATTGTTATCTTCTCCACTCTCCCCAAGATTCTCTTGTACATTTTCCCTTATCCCAGTATTTTTCCATCTTCACTGGAGGCGCCTTCTCTTCACTCCATGCCTTTCAAGCCAGCAGCTATACAATTAATGTGCTGAAGCTATTTACTCTTGAAACAGCTACAAAGTAAAACCAACACGAGGCTCAATACATAAAGCATTTTGCTAGAAAGTCTACTTTGTGGTCAAGGTAGATTATGAATATCCAATGGACTATTAATAAGGTGAGGTGTCCCATGTGGTAGGATACTAAGAACACAGA